AGAAAAAACTAATTAGTAAAAGATCATGTTAATGGATATATTGTGTTTTGAAAATCATCAATAAGACAGCAAGACAGATTACCCAAACAGAAAGTGTTGAGTATAAAAACAATTACTGTTTAACCAACCGGAATTGTGAACATTTGACAAATATGATTATTTATGGTATTAATTGTTCTGAACAGATAGAAAAAATTAGGAATTAATAGTTGCTAAGAAAACAATTACAAATAAAATAAATGAAAGTAATAATAATTGGGTCGTAAGACTAGACTAATAATCTCTCCCAAGAAAAATGGAAATCAGGAGCATAGAATAATGTAAAGAGTTATGTATGCAAGATATTGAATGAACATTTTATTTTATTTATGTTGGGCTTGCTTTTTATTTTTTTTATTTTCATTACTATTGTTTTAAAGGATAAGTGAAAGTTTCGTTGATTTGATTGGTTACTATTTATTCATGGCTTATAAAATTTAATGCCTTCAATCAAAATAAAAAAAGACTTTTTATTTTTTGCTTATTAATGTGTTTAGATATATAAATATCAAATCAATCAAATTTTGTTAGATTACTGCAAACTCCTACAATATAATAAAAATAAATTTAAGTATATTATTATTTAATAAAATTAACTAAAAAAAAAAATACTCACCCAATCTGCATCAATGTCCAATGCCCATTGGAATTTTTTGCAGAGACTTTTGTTAAAAATTTTAGTAATTGGTACATCATACTTTTTACACCACACAACAAAGATATGTGGGTCTATATAATGAATCTTTGATGTGCCCAATGCAATTGTTTTGTTATCCTCTTTATCTTGTTTTAACAATTTGGTGATTTTGATACATTCTGTCAAATTTTCTATTTGGATCTGGAGTTTTTCATTTGTTTGTCCTTTTCTTGGATTGGCCTTTCCAGATTTTTGTTCATTCTTCAACACCTTCTCTTTTTCATCAATGTTTTTTAATAATTGCTTAATATGCTCATTGGGTTTAAGTGACTTTCCTTCTTCTGTAAGCTTTTCATTATCTTTTTCAAATTTTTTTACAACTGCTAAATATTCCCTTTCCATCAATTGCTTCTCATGTTCAATTATCCATTCCTCTTCCATGTCTGATTCTGGTTCAAATAGTTGAGGCTCTTTCTTTTTTAATCTGGGCTCAAGATTCAACAATTCCATTTACATCTATTTCTTTGATATTTCAAAACATGAACCTAACATATTAAAGAATACATACATGTGAATTTATTTAAGAAATTAACAATAATCATGATAAAAAAAATTACCTTATTATCAATTCTATTGATTTGATTATCATGATATTTGCTGACAGAATGTTGATGGTAGCAACCTGTCTGTTTGCTTTATTATATGCTGCTATTTTCTCTGTTACAGTAGTAGCATTCTCCATCCCTTTCTTTAGCTCAATTTGGAAGGTACAAGATGCATTGTATGTATGAAATACTTTGATGGTTAGTCCTTTCATGTATTTAGACAAATGTTTATTCAAATCTTGAGTCTAAATGAAGTTTTAAAGAAAATTTGAATTTATTAATAGAACAAACACAAATGCACACACATATATGTGATTGATTAAATTTAAATCTTGTATATTTGTACCTCTAATCTGTCAAATAACTCTTCACTGGATTCCTTATCCTTCATAAATATTTTAAGGTTTTTGAAAACTTGTTCTATTACTTCTGCCGAGTTTACATATCTTATTGAATTTTTACCTAAGAAATCAAACTCAACTGTCCTTGGTGTTACCAAAGTAATATGTTCACATCTGAGGGAACAACTACCCACAGTATCTGCTCCTTTGCCAGTTTTCTTATTTCCTGCTCTTAATGCAAGCTTGTCAATAAGATATATGGCAGTTGCATGTTGTCAAACTGATTTGAGTTTATTTTTTAAATCCCGCGTGTAATCACGGCGGATTTTTTCTAAATGCTTATTGAGCTCCTTGGCTCTATCAAATTTTTCTAGGTCATTTTGACCGTTTTTCATTTTTTTTTCTCTAATATATTGGTTAAATGTATTAACGAAACTAGAGTAATGACGAGTAGCGGGCAACAACCACCATCACCATCCTTAAAACACTTACTCTCTAACAGCACCAGTATTATTTTCTTGTTTTCTTTTTTTTTTGTTTTGATTACACATTAAAAAAAATTTTAAAGAAGCTTGTTTGGTGATGCGTACACATTAATTATTTATCCTATTGGTTTTTTTTTTGGAAAAACAATTTATTTTTTTGACAGTGTCCAAGGTGACAAAACGTGAGTGTTGTTGTTTGATTGGGTTTTGGTATCCTAAAGAAACGTGTTAATAACTAACCAGAGGTACTTTTTTTATTTGTATTGATTAGTGTTGATCGCCAAAACTATTTTGAAGAGGCAAAAGTCAAAACTAAAATTAAAAGTTATATGTCAATACTAAATTAAAAGTCAATAGTCAAAAATCAAAACTAGTTTCGACTTATGGCGAAACCTTTTGACTTTCGCATGGTTGCGAAACTCTCTAGTTTTGGAAACCAACACTAGTATTGATATTTTTACTTTAGCTTATAAATATTTCAATTGGAATCAAAACGCGGAGCAGATCATTGCTGGGTATCACAAGATTTTCATTGATAATATTTTGCTTTGCATAATCAATAATAATAATACTAATATCATATTATTGTAATTACAAGATGTCAAGGCAAGCATTGACTGTTGCAAAAGGAACATTTCGAAAAGCGACATTTGATTATCGGAAATTTACAAGTGTTGAAGCATGCACGCTACCTTGAACTTTACAGTCATTCACACATGTCCTCCTTGTGTGCACAAGGCTAATCTGACCAGCTCCGCCCTATGGATATGATGATGCAACCAATACCAGGGGGAGGCACATGGACCTGGAGTTTACTGAGACTGCATCAATCGTCAATGACACTTTCATTAATCTTCCCAGACCAGAGATGGCTGCTGGCACGCTGGTCGAAAATTCGCCTGCAACGATCCTACCTCTAGGGTAAGGATGGCTATATGACCAAGCTGTCGCAACTCTGCTAATGAATTATAGTGCCATGTAAATATCCAGATCATCAAAGCAAAGAGAATCTGCAACTTGTTTCAAACACAGAGATCACAATTCAGAGCAGGGTTTGTGGCCCTGAAATTGCATTTGGCTCTGATGTTAAGAGGAAAGTTGTAAAATAGTGTTTGTTTTGTATAATCATTTTCATAAATGCTCTGTTTCTCTTTAATTTTTGTTGACTAACTGAATTTGTTGTTTTTTTAAATGGGTAACTTTTTCCCAAATAACCTCCCACCCTAGGTTAAAGGATTGTAGCTCAATGAGAGCATGTATCTCACAAGTATAAAGGTGACAGTTTGATTCTGCCCACTCCTATTGTGATAGTCACCATGATCACTGGCATCAAGGAGAAAGCTGTAAAATAAAATGGTTTGGATTTTGTTTGGTATGTTATAAATTAATCATTTTCCCAAATTTTCTGCTTCTCTTTAATTTTTATTTGACCAACTGAACTTGTTATTTAAATAAATGGGGTATGGTTGTTGGTGAGTAGGCATGTCACTGACAAGACAGTGACCCAAGACTCAAACTCCGAACTCAGGGAAAAACCAAAATAGCAACCCAGGTTGCAACTTCCAAGTTGGAGAATTTTCAATCAGTTGCAGGTGCCAACTTTTATGCTAGTGTGGCAATAACATGCAGCAATGTTTCATCAATTATTCAATAGTTGCATAGGAGTGGTTGAAGTAAGCATTAATGACAAGATCTGTGAACAAAATATACTAACAAACGTTTTATGATTATTCAATAGTTGTATAGGAGTGATTGAAGTAAGCATTAAGGACAAAATCTATGAACAAAACATACTAACAAATGTTTCATCAATTATTCAATAGTTGTATAGGAGCAGTTGAAGTAAGCATTAAGGACAAGATCTAAGAACAAAATATACTATATAATTATTCAATAGTTTGTGTAGGAGTGATTGAAGTAAAAATCATGTATTTTTCCACAAAAATATCTGCAAATTTGCGCAGCATTATGAAAATATCCAATTTTATTGGTGGGTTGGGTGCGTGTTATCCTTATTTAGAAATTGATTTGGCGATTTGTGGATATTTTTGCGGAAAAATACATGATTATATTGAAGTAAGCATTAAGGACAAGATCTATGAACAAAATACACTAACAAACATTTACCAATTACTCAATAGTTTGTATAGAGTGATTGAAATAATCATTAAGGACAAGATTTATGAACAAAACATACTAACAAACGCTTTATCAATTATTCAATATTTGTATAGGAATGGTTGAAGTAAGCAATAAGGACAAGATCTATGAACAAAACATACTAACAAATGTTTTATCAACTATTCAATAGTTGTATAGAGTGATTGAAGTAAGCATTAAGGACAAGATCTATGAACAAAATATACTACCAAATGTTTTATCAACTATTCAATAGTTGTATAGGAGCGATCAAAGTAAGCATTAGGGACAAGATCTATGAACAAAACATACTAATGAACTTTTATCAACTATTCAATAGTTGTATAGGAGTGATCAAGTAAGCATTAAGGACAAGATACAGTTCACTCTCTCTATAACAGCCTGCCTGATTTGGCAAAAAAAGGCCGTTATAGAGCAAGACTGTTATAGAGAGTTTGCAGTTCATAGTCATGTGATAAATTATAATGCAATACAATATATTTTTTATATGATAAAATATTTAAAAAATAAATGAAAATAAACTATTTATAATTTGCATATTTATTCAATATTAAAAAAGTTATCTAGTGTGGATTGTTGTTGTGAGTTAAAATCAATTTTTTTAATTTTTCTTTTAAGACTTTTCAATAATTTAAAATTGTCCTCATTTAATTCTGATTGCTGGTCAATGTAAATTTCTAATGTTTTTATTTCTGGCAAGGCTTCTTTATTTGTAAC